AAGAATTTTTAACATCAGAAAATTGCTGCTCATCCAGGATTTTATGTCCTTAAGACATGTTTGTAATTTAGATAATTGATTAATTTCATTGGGCTTGATCGATAGATATAACTGCGTATCATCTGCATGTTTAGCAGGTACAGCAAGATGTTCACCATTATAGGTTAGTGTATTAGCATGCTAACCTTTGCTAATTAGCACACAAAGTACTGTTATTTGGCTATAAACCAGTGTTGGACAAATTAGAGTTTCAACTGGATGATTATGCCGGATAAGAAGTCAGAGGATCACCAAAGTTGTAACAATTCATCTTCTGGGAACCATGAATGTGTGTACCACATTTCATGACAATCTAATATAATGCATCTATACCTATCGAGACATTACACTGACAGCCACAATTACCTGCAGTCATTGGGATACACAATCTGATGATCATAAATGTCTGTACAAAATATGCCAGTCCATGAAATAGTGGTTGAGATATTTCAGTCTGGACCAAAGTGGCAGACCGACTAGACTTCTAGAGCCACACTGCTAGCTGTACAGCTAAAAACACCCACTACATCTCAAACCAAATGTGGTTGCAAGATGTTCTCCCCCCACTGGCCTCCAGGGGTGTGTCCAGACTTTTTGGAATGGGGTGGTGCAAGTGGAGCACTGAGTTATGCAGGGGTGGCATCAAATATGTGTCTCAGTCATCCCCAATTTATGCAATTCCAACACTGTTTATGGACCTGCATGTAGAAATATTCAAATACACTAGATGAAAATATATATTTTTTTACCTAAAACTGCATGGTTGTTGCCCCAAACTACATGGAATTAGCATAAAGTGGGTATGACTGCAGAGCGGAGACTTGTGGATACCCAGAGAACCCATTTTCATTCAGATATCTTGAGGTCAGAGGTCCCCTTTGAAATAGCCATGCCAGTTTTTCAATCGCCAAATGTGGGCAACAAAGGATGTGTGGAAATCAGTTTGCTGGTTTGTAGTCCGTTTTGAGGGTCAGCCTTACTACTGGGTGAGGTTTGTGTTCTCCAGTGTTCAACTCCACACAAAGCAGAGATGCAAATTCCTTTTGCTGCAGGAGGCAAAGTTTTGCCATACTCTTTTGCCAATGTTGATTTTGCGTATGTGTGACCATGCTCTAACAAGGAAAATAGCCCAGTTTGTCCAGGAATTACAGTGGCAAGAAAAAGTATGT